CACTTTGTATTTCGCAATCAGTGATTACTCTGATGAAGTCCGTAAACTATCATCATCATCCATCATCACACTCGAATCACCAAGAACAATAAGGAATCTGATTGCTCTTGTCGTCTTTTTTTTTTTTCCTTTTCGTCATCAACCTTTATAATGATGTATCACTTTTATTTTATTTTTATTTTTTATTTTTTTGGCTTTAATCTTTTTTATTTTTATTTTTTTTATTTATGGCACTTCCCAAAGGATAAATAAATATTTTGAATTGCCACCCACCCACCACCACCACCACCGGACGATTAGTAGATGGACGTCGAGAAAACTCACTCATGCAATTCACCACCCACCAATTATTCGCTGTTTCAGTCAGTAAAGACTTGAACCACTCATTAATAAATGCATAGGGGCGAACAGATTTTCACTTAATAACTTCTTTGGATATCTGAAGACGCATAATCACACTACATATGTACATATAATACATCAATTTGCGTATGTATATATACACAGTACAGCAACAACAACAACAAAAAAAAAAAAAAAAGTGCAATTTTCTTTTCGGGAAAGTCAAATTGCCCATCACAGTATAAATAGATAGAGTAACAATAACGTAGTTAGAGTAACGGGGGAGGTACAGTATAAATTAGAAGAATGGAGAAATATACAGTATATATACACTCCAAATATAAATTGACAAATTTAAAGCGTAGATAAAGTGTGTACTCTAAATTTTTTTTTTTTTAAGCTATTACGTGTTGATTGATTAAAATTTTTTTCGCTCAATAATATATAATAAGACGGGTAGCTGGATAAAAAAAAAAAAAAAAAACTTTTTTTCTTTTTTGTCAAATTTTTTTTTTTTTATTGTTTCATTTTGGTTTTCACTACTGCAAGACCGTATATTACTCAGTTTCACTTTATTAATCATTTTAGTAATTACCGAGTTGAGAATTTTTGGAGGTTACACTTTTTTCGATGTTCGTCTCAGCTTACACAAAAAAAAAACCTTATAAATTGATACCAGCAATTTAATCTTGCTTCTGGTTCCTCAACTTTTCTTAAAAGTTATTTTTTTTTCCTTTATGTGAAAATAGTTCACCTTGTTAAAGTTGAACCGTCATCTATTTTCTATTTTTGTTTACTAGTTAGTTGTTGTTAACGATTCTCCTTTTTTTCTAACTTTAAAAGCAAAAAAATTTCCCTTTCTCTAAAGAAAGAAAAAAAAAAAAAAAAAGAAGAGAAAGAAACGAACGTCTAATTTTCGTTATTACAATAAATCTGATAAGAATTAAGCAATTACGCACTCATAGCATAAGAAATATGGCACCATTTTTACCTGCGGATTGTTTATGCCAAATATTTCAAAACCTAACGGATCAAAAATCATTATACGCATGCCTGCTAGTGAATCGACTGTGGTGTGCTACTTCGGTGGAATTTCTATGGTCAAGACCATTCCATTTTCTATACACATGTCACAAGACGGTCTTCCTTCCCTCGCTGCAGAGACATCTATTCTCCTCTGCGGCCTCAACAAAATCTTCGATATATACCACAAAGTCATCGTCGGCTCACAACAACCGACGAGCGTCGACCACGACCAACAAGTCCTCCTCATATTCTGCTTCACCGGCAGCCGAAAAGTTATGTCATTGCTGTGAGGACACAAGGATAATAAGAAGTTCAAGGTTGATTGAGACCTATTTGAGCTGTCTGTCGGAAAAAGAAAAAACACTGTTGATGGAAAGTGGAATTGAATTATCGGTAGATATACAGCAGTCTCCGTTATTTGATTATGCAGCGTTCATACGTTACTTGGACCTTGAGGAGTTTTACATTGCCATCAGAGATTGGATCGAATATGCGAATGTGATTAACGGTGCATCACAAGGTGGCAACCTAAATTATTATAACACGCTGAACGCGTTGAACGGGATTAGCGGTAGGAAAGGAAGTCTGAACAGAGGAAACATTTCAATCCTAAGTAGTAGTTATCCGGGAGGGAACGGCATTTTCACCGGCGGATTTGGAATTTCGGAGGGGCAGCTAATGGAGTTTCACAGTAGACAGTTGAAGAAAAAAAATTCAATAAAGAAATTTAAATTTTCAAATGTCGTAAGATTTATCACAAAAACAATAAACAATCACCGAAAAACATCAGAGAGTAGTCACGATCAATCACGGAGGAACAGTGAATCCAGTCAATACAGCACGGCGAGCAGTTTCGACACCATATACACCACCTCCTCTTCGGCCCCGTCGAGTCCAACCACCACCATGTCATCGTCAAGTAGTTCTTCATACATAACCCATCCAAAAGAACGATTGATTACCGAGATGCTATGTAGGCTGTTGATGAGAAGGAGTTCTACCCTCAAACAATTGTCAATTGACCGAACAAATACCACCCGTTCACCGGAGAACTCGAATGGATTCCGTTGTTCTTCGTTGAGAGCCCAAATATCGGAGAAATTTCAAAATCTCCGTCTCATACCCGAACAATTCCTGGTGCTCCCAACTTATCCCGGAGCTGTCTCGTGTTTGTCCTCGCTGAGCGAGTTGATATGCACCACGCGTCAATCTAAACGAAAATTATTTGATCTACTTGTCGATATCTCTTGTCGTCTGACTAAAATTTCTGTGACCATGGATTATCACTCTAACGGTTGGAGGTCACGTAAAGAAGATTTGGAACTCGAAGATGAATCCAGAAGCCTGGCCGCCCTGATCAACTCTCAACAATCTCTGGAACAATTTGAGTTGTATTGCTGTGAGGTCGGCACCTCCATAATAATGAATTCGCTGAAGTCACAAACCAGTAGTTTGAAGGTGATCGCTTTTAATGAGATTCGGTTCTGGGGTTGGGAACCGTTGGATTTTCTGGGTGAATGCAGGAACCTCGAGAAGCTGATGTTTAGATCTTGTCACGGCATAACCAATGAATTGTTGGACTCAATGACCGATGTTAAATACGAAAATCTAAATACCCTCGTCATGGAAAACTCGTCAGCACCGGTTCACATACTTGGATCGTTGATCGTGAACTCATGTAACAAGATCCACACCCTCAACTTGGGACAATACAAGCCATCGGTTCTTCCAAACAATAAAAAAAGCAATGGAATCGAACCAGACTACTTTCACGCCACTTCAAATATTTTCAAGACCGTGGCAAAATATTGTCCCCGCCTCACCCGGTTCGGCACATACATTGAGGCCACAGATATTTCTGAATTGCATACCCTCTTTGCTCTGTGCACGAACATCCAGTCGGTTACGCTTTACGGACCACGATCACCTGAAATCAATGTGACAGATTTCTTGCTGCAATTATCTAAACAAGAACTACCAAATTTGAAATCGCTCTCCTTGCAAACAGCGTGGTCGTACACGCCGTTCTCACTCGATCAATTTCTGGTGAACTCGAAGCCGCCACTGAAATATTTGGAAATCAGGAATTCAAAATGCTTTAACGATGAACACCTTATGGTGATATTAAAGAATTTGGGTAAAGAGTTAAACGTGCTGAAATTGCACGTCACAAATCAACTGAACGAAGAGTTGGTGGAAAGGGCCAGACAGGAGATCGAGATGAGAGAGTTGCTGAGAAGAGAGATGGAATTGCAAAAAAGAGAATTTGAATTAAGACAGCGGGAATTTGAAGCTAGCGGGGAAATTGAGTTTGAGGAGGATGAAGACGACGATGAGGAAGATGAAATGGTGTTAAGAAGAGAGATGAGAAAAGGAGTTGACGTTGGCGATTTTATAAGACTCAACAATAGTTTCACGAGACGTAATAGTAGCGCGATGAGGCGTGATAATAACCTGATAAGACGCAACAGTAGCACGATAAGGGTTGATAGTAGTGCGTTAAGACGTGATAGCGGTGTCTTAAGGAGAGATAGCGGTGCGTTAAGAAGAGATAGCTACGGAATGTTGAGGATAGATGGTTACTTGAAGAGAGCAATCAGACACGATGACATTGAAGAAGGACTGGTGCAAGTCGAATACTGGGAATCCATCATTAGGGTAAGGATTAGCAACATTTGTAAAAAGATTGGGTGGTTGAGTGAGAACGGTGGTGGTGGTGGTGGTAGTAGTAATGGTGATGGTAATAGTGAGAGTGGTGGATAGAGCGAAAATAGTAATAGAAGAAGCGTTAGTGTTAGTGATTAGTGTAGGAAGAAAGAATCAAGTGAATATTAAAGTTTTTTTTTTTTTTTCTGCATCAAGAAATTGATTCTCTTGTGCAAAAATAATTATTGATCATTCACATGTTCGTTTTTCTTTTGACTCTGAAAATTATCGTTCACGTCACGTCCCAAACAATAATAGGATCAAGAAGAAATTCCCTGCACCCGAAGATCCCGGTTCGGCAAGTGACATGATCTTTGATATCATGTCGCGTGACGAAAAGATGTTTCCTTCACTCTTATTATGTTTCAATTTTTATCATACTTTTAATTTTAATATCACACTTTCTTAACGATAACCATAAACATTCAATATATATGCTTTCGAATTTTATGGTTAGTAACTATTAATTAATTCTGTACAAAAAAAAATTGTATATCCAAACGGACTATTTTTCTTAATATTTCTTTTCTAATTCTGTAATTAATTCTTCACTTTTTTTCCCTTTTTACTTCACTAATTGTTTCTTTAACTATGTGTAATATTAAGCTTATTATTATTATTATTACTATTTTTGTTCTTTTTATGAGGAGAGTTGATGGAGTCTATAGGATTTGTTAGTTTGGTTACATCACATTCTTATCCTGAATACTACTCTCACTATTATTTCAACTACTACATTACCGCCATAACCTAATGAACATCAAAATTAATCGATCACCTATTACTTGCAACAACTTAGTCAAGACACATGTTCCACGACTTCGATCCGCGTTTTCTTAAAAGAAGGTTGGTGATGTTTATAAAATTTTGGATGCATCACTCTCATTTGTTAAAATTACGCGTTCTAATTTTTGCTTCGCCCTATTCCGAAAATCAACAATATTAGATGATCATAATGACGAGACCTTGAATTATTAAATCTCGCTGGGCGAATCGAGTCCGTCTGTATGCTGGCACATACGTTGTTTTCATCGGACTCAATGCGGGCAGATTCTTTGGACGGAGTCGATTGGTGAAATATTTTGTTGGGACACGACACCTGTACTATTATTCCTTTATCGGTTTATCTTACTTTTGTCTCTGTGTTATGAATATTACGTTGCGTGTATATTTCGATTTCGTCGTGCCTAACGGATGATCTCAACAATATGATCAAAGTACGTTGCTTGTAAAATATTTTCAAATCTGTAATTATTTGTACATATTAAAAATGAACCTTGCTAGAAGGTTGTC